AGTATTACAGCAATATCGAGTAATACTACAGAGTATTACAGCAATATCGAGTAATACTACAGAGTATTACAGCAATATCAAGTAATACTACAGAAGAGCCAGGGGAAAACATTTAAAACTACTCGCATTTTAACTCTTCAGATCTGGTTCAGCCAAACTTCCTGTTGTGCTTTTGTCAACCCGAAACCTCTGATTCGTGCGGCGTTATACCGTGCGGTGTTATACCGTGCGGCGTGGTGTTACACTGTGGAGGGAATGCAGGTGTTTCTGCTTGTTATGCAGGCTTTCAGGAAATGAGTGCAGCCTCATTATCTAGGAGACGTGGCCGGGGTGAAACACAGCCCACACCTCGGCGAGTGACGGCATGGTCTGCCTGGCGAAACAGCACCACAAACTCCAACCGGAAAAATGAAAACCTCCAGCAGTGTAAAGCTGGGATTTCACATAAAGCAAAGCAGACTTAATGCAGCGATCGAGGGAGAGCCAGTGCTCTGCCAGGCCGCATGCGAAGGCGACATGACACACACTGCACACACTGCTCCCCTAACCTGGCCATGTTACAGACAGAACACTGTCCAGTTCAACCCTCCACAAAGGCAGAGGCTTTAACCCCTTCAACTGAGCATGTCTGGGTCATGTTAAAAAGAACACGTTTGTTCAGGACCTCCTAAAATTTTCAGTCACATTTCAGTCTGCTTACATTGAACAAAGAAAAAATGCATCACTTGGTAATCAGTATAACAGCTGTTTATTCTGTCTTTGTTTAATAAATTTTGAAAAAGAAAGTTTTTTTATTGGTACAAAATTGCCTGATCCAGTTTGACAAATATTAATTAATTGAAACGACAATATGCATTTTAAGATAAGTATTATAATATAGCAATTTCCTGTAATTTCATGTAGATATTCTCACCATTCCAGGTCTTTCTAGACTAAAATTGACTCAGCAGAACACCGTGACTGGCAGCCGTATTCCAAAATCAGGATTTGAATGCTTCAGTTCGTTCAGGTCCACCAACAACTAAACGGATGGTAGTTTAAGAGTTGGGTTTAAACCTGGACAGTATGTCATAAGAAGCCAGGTCTACAAAACCAGACAGAAATATACATGCAGGCAGAGACAAGCATCATCCTGTTTAAGAAGAGGACGGTCCGTCCTGTTCCCAGTTCATCCTCTTATATCATAAAAATGTCTTCTGGGTGTCGTTGAGGCAAGATGTAGAGGATCGACCCCTAATGGCACTATTATAGGGGGGGTCTAGATGTAGCAGACAGGGGTGCTGTAGGGACATGGCCACCCCAGCAGATTTAGGGGGACCAGCACTTCACAGGGGTCCTTGATATATCGTCAGGGGGCCTGGAATTTCTAGCTACACCCCTGGAACCAGATCAAGGTCATGCAGCATGGAAGTAGATCTGTACTGGGGTTCCAATGTCACATGAAGTTCACAGCACTCATGTGGGATGCTGACAGACACCTGCGGAGTAGCATTTGCAAGGTCTCACTTCTGAATTTGGATAAAAACTACACAGGATCGCCAACCTGTGGATGCCCGGGGCAACAGAGAGCACAAGAAGAACTGAACTAATTAGGCAAGCAAGAGAGCTAATAGTTAGTAAAACCTGATGTAGCTCAAAGTGTCCCTTCTGACATGGATTATCGGGTCTCCCTACCGTCAGCACATTGCTGAAACGGAAGCTGACGGGCAGACTTTCAAGTTGATTCATTTCTACAGAAACATGCAGACATCAAAGCAAAGAGGACTCCTATGTGGGAATGCTCTCACCACAAGGCATACATCTGCGAGTGTGTGGGCTACGGATAGCACCGGAAAGGGAGGGCGAGTGTGTGGGCTACGGATAGCACTGGAAAGGGAGGGCGAGTGTGTGGGTTACGGATAGCA